TATATATATATATATATTACCATCAAATGTCCCTAAAATAAACACACACATACACCAGGGCTGACAAAAAAATAAGTACCAGTTTAATAACGGAACTTGAACAAGTGGAAAGCTACTATGCGGGTGCCCACACTTTAAATATATTAAAATACTTCTAATCATATATAAAGTAACTTAATTTAATTGATTTTTACCTAAACATATATGTTAAATATTTATTTTAGCACAAAAATATATTACATAGTTATTTTTTAATATAAATATGTTTTAAAATTGTTGTTACTATTATTGTTGTTATCATCATTGTTATTGTTATTATAAACACTAATAGTAGTAGCAACAATAACAATGATTGTGTTAGTAATAACAGTGATAGTGATGATAATTTGATGACAATAATAATAACAGTGTCCATAATAATGAAGTCAATAGTGGTAATAACAATGATAATGATGACAATTATAATAAAAATAACTATAATGATAATAGTACATGATAATTTTTTTAATAACATTTTAATTTGAACGAACTATTTTATAGTTTTGGTTTTATTATATTAAGTAGTTACTTATTTCAAATATTTTACACACACGAGTATATGTGGATTATTCTAAAAGTAAGTCTTGATAGACTTACTTCACTCAATAACTAATTATTTGTATCAAATTTCAATTATTTACTTATTAATTAAATATCTTTAATCTGTAGATAAAGTTTACAAATTTTTTTTAAAAAATTGAAAACTATTTGATACTTCGTTTCATCCATTCAAATTGATGGATAATTGTAAAAATATTTTATATGTTGATTTGAATTTATATAATGAAATATCATATAGTTTTCAAAAAATTTAAAAATTTATAAAATTGATCTATGTATTAAATTTTTTTTAATTTAACAGTTAAATCATTTAAATTTGATAAAAAAATATAAGTTATTAAATGAAATAAATATCAAAATTCATTCTTGAAGTAAATAAATCATTTTTGTTCTCTCACTCCCTCTCTATATATATAGAGAGGAGAAGGGGGAATAAAAAGTGAGAAGTTTAAAAAGTATCAGATACCTCGTATATCAAATTGTGAGTTTCTATATAATAAAACTTCGAATATCCCTCCTACATAAATAATTATATTTTTAGAGTTATTTTTTCTTCATTTGGCCACTTGACTTCTCTTGTTTTAAATATGAAACGTGCATGAAGATATAGTTAATTATATTTATACATATGAATGTGTAAATACAATACAAATTAAATATTTTTTCATATCAATTTGGTTGTGAATTTAAATTTTGGAGACAATAATCTTAAAAACTCAGTCATTTAAATAAGATACTTTTTAATGGAAATGTTATAGTTGTTTTCGAAAAGAAATAATGCCCTAACCGCTCATATCTTAAAAAGTTTGTGACTAAAAAGTGGCATTACATTTGCTTTCCCTATTTTTTTTACAACATAATGTAGGTTTTAGATTTCAACACACATCGAAAATTGTTAGAGATTTTACATTGTTTAAAAATAAAACTTTAATAGATTATATAAATAAATAATAATTTTTATTTTATAAGTCAGTTTTTTTGAATATTTTAATTATAACCGTGATAAGATTTGAGTACTTTGAATTTCACCTTAAGATTGGATATATTTATTTTTATGTTATAAATTAGAATAAATAATTTAAAGAGTTATTTACTTATTTTATTATTGAATTTAAATATATAATTTATATATTTAAATTAAATTTCATTTTACTAATTTTTTTCTGATAGTATATATTACATTAATTAGTGAATTAAATATGGTTGTGAATTAATAAAATTTATAAAAGGTATATACAAATATATTGCTTGTTTTTAATTTACAGACAGCTGAACGAAATTGAAGGGCTGACTTAAGACTTAAGAGTGTGAGGATATTTAAAACACTTAGAAATTTTGTAACTTGAATGCCGAATGAGACGACAAATGGATATATGAAATTAGTGAACAATGAACATACGACAAAGTGCGAGCAAGAACAAGTCATCCAAAAAAGTAAAAAAAGACTACTGTGCTGATTATTGATTAATTTGGGTATTTGCAGAGTCTGGCTTTATTTTCATATTTAAGCTCGACGGACGTCAATCATGATGAACCCGTCATGCACGTTTGAATGAAGGATGTGTTGGAAATTAAAATTTAGAAAGACCAATTAACGAGATTCAATCATGTAATGCGTGTTTCTTTGTTGACGCGTCTTTTGCGTTCGATGTGGATTAAGCTACAATACGATTCGTCATGTCTGGATTGATGGAAAGGAAACAAATTTGATGAAAATGGAATGAGATGAATTTAAAAAAATGTAATAAAATAAAAAGATTTCTTTTATTTAGATATTTTATAATAGAATTAAGTACTCATTCTATAATCTGATGGTACATGAAAGAAAGGGAATGGATAATAACTATTATTCTTATATTTATATTTACTTTATAATTGTTGGCATTTTATTTTTTTGTTCCTTGAATATCAATGAGATGTAGTATTGATATTAAGGATTTATTATTATTAGTTTATAATTTTTATAGTTAAATGATTTGAAGCTATAATGGTTTTCATTATTTAACACATGCCTTAATTTTTATTAATAAAAATGATATGCTAATTATTTAAAAAGGATTTTAGAATGAGTGTAACAATTAATATAAGAAAACTACTATATCATGATATTATTTTGTTTGAAAAAACGTGTATAAGATTAGGAAAAAAAATAGAATAAAAGAGTATCCTGAATTTAGTATCATTAAGATTAAGATTTGCACACTATCATTTTATTATGTCTTTATTATTGTATTTTAAAATAATAGCAAGAGTATGTCATTTTCCCTTATATAATAACTTTGTTTGTGAAAAATACTAGCGGTATATATTTTTATGTATCTTATTATTAAATAAAATTTATATGGATTTTATTAGATAATATGAATTTTATTATTCATTTAATAAATTTTACATAAATCTTATTAAATAATAATAAAAGCGCTAAAAAAATTAATATACTGAGAACATTTTTCTTATGTGTGTATGTGAAGAGTATACTATGTAAATGACATTTCTTATGTGAGAATAGAAACTTTTATTCACAAACGTTAGATTAAAATCAAAGATCATGGTTAAAACATTCAATAAAATATATCATAGTCTTTTATTTATCAGATTTCTTTTTATCCATAAAATGGTAGATAGGGGATGATGCTTCCAAAATTAACTATCAAGCATGGAGCCAATGACATGTTACAAATCCTTAGACCAAATATCATTATCTACTTAGTAGTTAACTAAAGTTCAATAATATCAAATTTAATCCAAGACTTTACTTATTAGAGGCTAGCAGAGGCTTATTTCAAGAATTTCAATCTAACGTTAGGGGATCTCCTTGAGTAGATATACCCATAACGTATGATTTTAGTAGTTACAAGATTTGTCGAACTTGTGTCATGGAGAACACATGTTTGGACTAAATCCTATACCATTTAACACTTACCAGATTAATCTTCTAAATTTTTCTTATTTACTCATCCTCTCACCTTCATCACATCTACCACCACTAGTATCACTACTACCGCTGCCATGAATTATTTTAATGAGTGTTTTAATCATGATTTTTTATTTTAATTTGAGGATTTAGAGTGATATATAGTTTTCATTCTCACATAAAAATGTTATTCTCATATTATTCCTTATGTGGAGATATTCACTTACTCCAAAGTTAAATCTTGATAAACTTGCTTCATTCAATAACCCGTGTTATATATTGAATTTCAACGACATAACCATTAAATTAAAAGTTCTTACTCCATAGAACAAGTTTACAAAATTTTAGAAAATTTAAAAACTATTTAATACTTTGTTTCATTAATTTAAAGTGACGAATAATCACAAAGACATTATATACGTTGATTTGAATATATATATATAATGAAGTATCATATAGTTTTCAAATTTTGTAAAACTTTTGAAGACTTAATATTTTCATTAAGAACTTTTAATTTAATAGTTGGATAATATTATTGAAATTTGATGTAGAACTTGACTTATTCCACTTAATAACTCACTCATATTCTATATCAAATTTCAACAATTCAATCGCTAAATTAAAAGTTTTTAATATATAAATCAAGTCTACAAACTTTTAAAATTTTAAAAGTTATTTGATACTTCATTTCATTAATTCAAATTGATGGATAATTATAAAAATATTTTATACATTAATTTGAATTAATGAAACGGAACATCAAATAATTTTCAAAATTTTTAAAACTTTGTATACTTGATCTATGCATTAAAACTTTTTAATTCAATGGCTAGATCATTGAAACTTAATGTTCAACATGAGTTATTGAGTATAATAAGTTTAAGTAGACTTACTCTAAAAGTAAATAGATCTCTCATCTCTTTATATATATATATATATATATATAGAGAGAGAGAGAAAGATAAGAGATCAAATTACTCCAAGAAAAATTCTTAATAAAGTTACTTTACTGAATAATTTATAATATATATTAAATTTCAACAATCGAATCGTTAAATTAAAAGTTCTTAATACATATATTAAATTTAAAAATATTTAATAAATTATAAAAAAAAATTAATATTTTATTTCATTTATTTAAATTGAGGAATGATGATAAATATATATGTATATATATATTTTTTTTTTTTCTACGGTTAAAAATACTCTGCATCGAGAGAGATATGTAAAGCTCTCCCACTTAGCCTGTGTCTAGGTTTATGTACCCAACCCATATATATAGGACATATATTAAAGTTGCCACCATGCGATAATGAAGATGGGTATTTTTTTCAAATGTGGATACGGAGTTCTTTTTTTTTTTTTCTTTTTCTGAGTGGACCGGACAAAACATCCCAGATCAACAAATTAACTATAAATAACTTGATGTTATAGTATCTAGTTAGATCTTACCCATTATCATTTTTAGTTGCTTAAAAGAAATAATTTTCAAAACGAAAATTAATACATTATTCATTTAAAAATACCTCAACGAAGACATATACTTGAACAAATTAATTTACTTTATTACTTATTACTAAAGAAATATTAAACCGTTATGATAATTTAATTAATAAGTAATTTTACACTCTAAATTAAAACATCTAAAATAAAACTCAAATGAGATTATAATATTTAACAAATTATTTTAATTAATTTTAAACTTATTATTTTAAAGGCTGTTTTAAGTTTAGATACACTTTATGCTATCAGCTCAATCTAATGATAAAGATCAAAATAATAATATGCATGAGATGATAGATTATAATGGGAGTATTATAAAAAAAATGACTTCATATATATAAACACTCAACATTACAGACATAAGAATTCCACGAAAACGTAATATATGAAATCTAGAATTCATTAATAAATTATAGATTCAGTTTTTTTTTATAAATAACTTGGTATAGAAAGACAAACCTAAATAGTAAATATGGAAAATGACATGTTGGTACGCTAAATTGGAGACAAAGAAAAGACGAGATGCTTAAAATAAATGACTACAATGGTACAGCACACACGAAGGAATAGTATAGACTACATAGTGATAGTTGGATAAGAAGCTTGCATAGCGACACCACAAACACCTTCAGATTGATCACTATCCCTCAGCAACTTCATGTAACCATTCTCTCCCCAAGTCTCGCCCCACGAGTTCTTGATCAACCAGTACTTAGTGCCCTCTTCATTCGTCCCATAACCAATTATAGTAACAGCATGGTTGAGATCCGTTCCACATGGTCCTTCAAATATTCCTTCTCTATATGACTTAAAGTTATCATTGACTGCAACGGCAACCGACACTGGTTGGTTGGCCACGGCTTGTAGTAGTTGTTCTTCACTGTTTGCAACTACATCTTGAAAATCGCTTATTTTGACAGATAGTTTCATTTCGGTCTTGCATGTTCCAGCAGATCCTTGGTATGGGTAGTCGTTTTCAGTTGCGATTCCCCCGTTTTCTTTGATATAGTTAAAGGCCTTATCCATGAATCCTCCTTGACACCCATTGTTACTGTTATCACAGTCTAGTAGTTGTTGCTCTGACAAGGAGATCAAATTGTTTGTTTTGATTTGGAAAATCCCTTCTACAGCTGCTACAGTTGAAAAGGCCCAACAACATCCTGCAATGCAAACAGTAAATTACGTTATGGCTTATTTAGCTGCTTCGTTAACTTTTCTGGTTAAACATGAAACTCCTTGTATTGTACTGTTCAGACATTAATTCAGATCAATTCATTTTTGCTTCCCTTCACTGTGGCTGATCTTATTGCATCTTTCATTTTCTTTGTTCACAAGAAGTTCATACTTCTAATATGGTATCAGAACAAATCAACTCAAACATGGCAACATGGCAACACAAACGAAAGATCCTACTCAAGATCCAAGCAACCCTCTCTTCCTACATCATTCGGATGGACCCGGGCTTGTTCTCACCTCTCAGCCTCTTGATCACAAAAACTATACCACATGGAGTCGTGCGATGCATGTGGCTCTCTCCGTGAAGAACAAGCTTGCCTTCATAGACGGAACCCTCCCGAAACCCGCTGCCACAGATTCTACCTTCGCTGCTTGGAACCGTGGAAATAATGTGGTTATATCTTGGCTCTATAACTCTGTCTCAAAGGATATAATCACGAGTATTCTCTTTGCAACCACTGCAAAATAGATTTGGGATGACTTGAAAACAAGATTTTCAAGAAATAATGGACCTCAGATATTTCAACTCAGGCGCCAATTGATGTCTCTGCAACAGGGATCAAATGATGTCAGCACATACTACACCAAATTGAAATCAATATGGGAGGAATTAGCTGGTTACAAACCAAATTTTCAGTGCACCTGTGGAGGACTTCAATCCCTTCAAGAACACACACAATCTGAATATGTCATGTCCTTCCTGATGGGTCTCAATGATTCTTTTTCACAAATCCGTGGTCAGATCTTACTCTCTGATCCTCTCCCTTCAATTGGTAACGTTTTTTCCCTAATTCTTCAAGAAGAAGCTCAGAAAGAAATTGCAATTACACACAGTTCTAATGATTCTGAACACATGGCTTTTATTGTGAACCAACCTGCTAAAATACATTCTGACAGCAACAAAAGTGGATTTACTAAGAAAGAAAGACCGAAGTGTGCTCACTGTGAGATGTTCGGTCATACCAAAGATAAATGTTACAAACTTGTGGGGTACCCCCCTAACTATTTCAAAAATCGTCAACCAAAAGTTGTGAATCAAGTTGAAAACTCAACTGATTCCTTGAATTTGAATTCTTCATCTAATCTGACCCATGCTCAGTGTCAGCAGTTGATCACTTTTCTGACTAATCAAATGCAATCTGACAATAATCTTGATGCTCTAGCCACCAATGTTACAGGTATTTGTATGAATGTAAAATTTCCTGACAAAGATAACACTTGGATCATAGATTTAGGGGCTACATCTCATATATGTTGTTCCAAACACATGTATAACTCATATTCACCTCTTCATAATTCTAATGTTTTGCTGCCTAATTCCACTAAAGTTAAGGTAGAAGGAATAGGGAGCATTAGGCTGAATGATGATATTTTTCTGCATAATGTTCTTCATATACCTACTTTTAGATTCAACTTATTATCTTTATTAACCCTCATCAATGAGAATTGTTTCAGATTTGTTTTAGATACCAACAGCTGTATTCTCCAGGACCTCAAGACCTTGAGGAAGATTGGCATTGTTAAACAACGTCACGGGCTTCTCCTCTTTGATTTTCCTAAGTCTGGTTTAAATCCTGTTTGAAATCAAATTTCCAATTCTATTACCTATGACATTTGGCACCAAAGATTGGGTCATGTACCTACTTCTGTATACAGACTTATTGCTAATAAAACTCAATTGAGTGCTATTGACTCCAATTTTCATTGCAGCACCTGTCATCTGGCTAAACAAAACAGACTTCCTTTTACAAATCCTAACAATTTCAGTGCTAACGTTTTTGATTTAATTCATGCAGATATTTGGGGACCTTTTCGGGAACCAACCTATGATGGATACAAATATTTCCTCACCTTAGTCGATGATATGTCTAGATTTACTTGGATATACTTACTAAAGAACAAGTCTGATTGCATTAACATCATACCACAATTCTGTTCTTATGTGGAAAATCAATTTCAGTCTACTATTAAAATGTTTAGATCCGACAATGCTAAGGAACTTGCTTTTAAAGAATACTTCTCTAAGAAAGGCATCATGCATCAATTTTCTTGTGTAGAGAGACCACAACAGAATAGTGTTGTGGAACGAAAGCACCAACACATTCTTAATATTGCTCGGGGTTTAATGTTTCAGTCAAATGTTCCTCTCAAAGTTTGGGGTGATTGCATTAAAACTGCTGTGTTTCTTATGAATAGAACTCCTAGTCCTATTCTAAATTGCAAATCACCATATGCACTTGTATACAACAAACTCCCTAACTATTCTTCTTTCAGGACTTTTGGCACGTTATGTTATGCATCTACTCTTATTTCCAGCAGGCATAAGTTCAGCCCAAGAGCTACTGCTGCTGTCTTCATTGGTTACCCTCAAGGCTACAAGGGATACAAGCTCATTGATCTTAGCAACAATCAGGTTTTTATCTCAAGAGATGTATGTTTCTATGAGCACATCTTTCCTTTCAAACAGACGCCAACTGCAGCAATCAATGAGAATGCTGTCATTTCTGAAATTACACCCAACTTGGTCAATCCCAACAATGAACCTGAAATTGATACTGATGCAGATCTCCCTATTTCAACATCTCATTCACCCACATTACAGCCTGTCATAAATCAACCTGATTCATCTAATAACCCTCCAAGGAGATCAACACGAAACACCAAATCACCTTCCTATCTGTCAGATTACCATTGCTACAATGTGAACACGGAATCTGCAATCATGTATCCTATACAGAGATATCTAGACTACTCCAGACTCTCAGAATCTCACAAACATTTTATATGTCAAATATCAGAAAATTTTGAACCCCAAACCTACAACCAAGCCATCAAACATGAACATTGGCGTCAAGCAATTGAAGATGAACTAGCTGCAATGGAAGTCAACAACACCTGGACAATTCAACCTCTGCCTCCTAACAAGAAACCAATTAGTTGTAAATGGCTTTTCAAACTTAAGCTTAATGCTGATGGAACAGTTGCCAAACACAAAGCTCGGCTAGTAGCAAGGGGATTCACTCAACAATATGGCTTGGATTTTCAAGAAACATTTTCTCCCGTAGCAAAGATCACTACCCTTAGAGTTTTACTTGCTTTGGCAGCATCCAAAAACTGGCACCTAGCTCAACTAGATATCAACAATGCTTTTCTCAATGGTGACCTTGAAGAAGAGATATTTATGAAAATTCCTCAAGGATATGTTTCAACCAACACAGGCATAGACTCCACCAAAGCTCCATTGGTTTGTAAACTCAACAGGTCAATTTATGGCTTAAAGCAAGCGTCTAGGAGTTGGTTTAATACTTTCAGCAACACTCTAATCTCACAAGGTTACAAGCAGTCCAAGTATGACTACACTCTATTCACGAAAGGTTCCAGCTCTACATTCATAATTGTTCTAGTGTATGTAGATGATATTGTGCTAGCTAGTCCAAGCCCGCATATGATCCACATGGCTAAAACCATGCTCCAGCAACACTTCAAGCTAAAAGACTTAGGAGATCTCAAATTTTTTTTAGGATTGGAGTTGTCAAAATCACAGGAAGGTATTTATCTATGTCAACGACACTATGCACTAGCCATTCTTGAAGATTCTGGCATGCTGGCTTGCAAACCTTCAGCCATTCCAATGGAGGCGAATCTTAAACTTCATGCAGAATCAGGAACCAAGCTCCAAGACCCAAGCATATATAGAAGGCTAATTGGGAGACTCTTGTATTTAACAATATCTCGGCCCGATATTTGTTATGCTGTCCACAAGCTGAGTCAATTTGTGTCCAATCCTCACACTGACCACATGAATGCAGCAACATTGTTACTTCGATACCTCAAGCATACTGCTGGTCAAGGTATTTTATTTAAAGCTAATTCTGACACAAGGTTGCATGCTTATGTTGATGCAGATTGGGGTACATGTAGTGACAGTAGAAGATCCACAACAGGGTTCTGCGTGTTCCTGGGCAATTCGTTGGTCTCTTGGAAAGCAAAACGGCAGACAACAGTTAGCAAGTCTTCCGCTGAAGCTGAGTACCAAGCCCTTGCATCTGTGGCCAGTGAAATAATTTGGCTGAAAAATCTTCTAACAGACTTCCAAGTTTCAACTACACATGCAGCAGTTTACTGTGACAATAAAGCTGCTATTCATATAGCCTCCAATCCAATATTCCATGAAAGGACAAAACATCTTGAAATAGATCTTCACTTTGTAAGGGAACAAGTCACAAGAGGAGTTCTCAAATTATTTCATGTTCGGAAGTTTCATCAGCTTGCAGATGTATTTACCAAAGCTTTGCCAAGAAATGCTTTCCTGAGCATATTGTCCAAGATGGGAATTGACAACATCTTCCTCCCATCTTGAGAGGGGGCTATTGGATTATGTTACAGGTTTACCGGCTATTATAGGTTATCACATCTATTTATATATGGTTATAAATTATTTATATAGAGACCCCTGGTATTGTACTGTTTTGACAGAGAAATTGAGATCAATTCATTTTTCGTTTTCCTTCACTGTGGTTGACTCTATTGCATTTTTCATTTTCTTTGTTCACAAGTTTATACTTCTAATATGGTATCAGAAGAAATCAACTCAGACATGACAACACAAACGAAAGATCCTACTCAAGATCCAAGCAACCCTCTCTTCCTACATCATTCGGATGGACCCGGGCTTGTTCTCACCTCTCAGCCTCTTGATCACAAAAACTATACCACATGGAGTCGTGCGATGCATGTGGCTCTCTCCGTGAAGAACAAGCTTGCCTTCATAGACGGAACCCTCCCGAAACCCGCTGCCACAGATTCTACCTTCGCTGCTTGGAACCGTGGAAATAATGTGGTTATATCTTGGCTCTATAACTCTGTCTCAAAGGATATAATCACGAGTATTCTCTTTGCAACCACTGCAAAATAGATTTGGGATGACTTGAAAACAAGATTTTCAAGAAATAATGGACCTGCTGTGAGTAACTATTAAGCCTACTCTGGACCTAACAAAAATTGCCAACACACTTATAATAGTTGGCAGTTACAAGTGAAAAATATTATCTTTAGACAAATTGATAAAATCTACAAATACTTGCAAGCTAGAAGAGGGGGAAAAAAAATCCAAAGGTCATTACTTACCACAGTCATATTGGTTCTTAATATCGGTGACAGCTCCTTCATCTTTCCAGTTCAGGCTTGTTGGAATATCAGTCAGGTTCAAGAGTGTGACTGACGATGAATGTGGTCCACTTGGAATCTTGAGCCCAGTGTGTGAAGCGATAAACTCTTCTTCAGTTAAATCAGAAAATTGATTCAGTCCTAATTTGTACCTCTTTTTTTCACCATTGTTGGATTTCTCTATGTATTCCAAATTCTCCTTAAATATTTTGAAGCGTTTCTCCTTCTCTGCAATGAAATTCATATTGCTCCAGAATTTAAATTGTTCAAATCAAGATAAAGCCAAGATAAGAAAATTGTTCAGGAATTAACATGATTACAACCCAATTGAAATTTAAAATCAAAATTTTAAACTGAAACTTAAAAAAAATAGAACAGAACACTAAAGCTTCTAAAATCACTCTGAGTCCTCTTGCATTCCAAGTTGAGCCTTAATTCGTGCAATCTCATGATCAAGGTTATCAAACCGATCAAGAATGCCAGAATAATAAGACTCGTGCTTCGTTGACATCTCCATTACTGCATCAAGCTTGTTAATCATAATTTTCTCAAACGGAGAAAATGCTTTAGGCTCCGATTCTTGCTTTTGTTTAGGTTCAATTTCCACTTGTGGGGGCTGGTATTCATCATGAGATGGAACACCATCTTCATTTGTTGTTGGTTCAGGCATTGGAGGAACATCTCTTTTCAATACCCATTTGTCTTCTTGTTTCAGCATCCCCATATGATGCAAAGAAGATTTTTCAATTTTGTTCGAGGCATGGGTGAATCAACTCAAACTTGGAGAATGAAAGTTTTGATGATAACAAAATGTGGATTCTGAGAATCAAAGCTGACCAAGGACATCAACAAGTCAAAAACAAGTCAAGAAGAAGATATGGCTATTATGATGTGTAATAGGGATAACTCATAAGTTGTATTGATTTGTTTAGCTTATTTTGCATGTGTGTGCTTTGTGTATGAGTTAATCTTAATCTAATTTGACTGAGAGTGGGTATGATGATGATTTAAATACTTGGAAAGTTATTTTGAGATAGAAAACTGAGTTTTTGAAACCTGACTCGAAATAATCGATTATCATTAAATATAATCGATTATTCCAGCAACAGGTGAAAAGGATGTCTTGCTGTAATAATCGATTATTTGTGAAATAATTGATTATCCCAGGAAGCACTCTCTGGAATAATCGATTATCTTGCAAAATAATCGATTAATCTGTTCTTGGTTGATTTCCAGAAATCATGAAGAACAAAATAATCGATTATCTGGTTCTGAAAATTTTATAAATAGTTTTTACACTTTGAAACTTCAGAATAGAGAATGAGTTAACAATCAAAAAGAGAAAAATGTTATTGTGAAGTCTTTGTGACCTTCTTGGAGTGTTTTCTTTGTGAAACCAAGAAGTAAAACATTTTTGAAATGCTTTGAAAGAGATCATCATCATCATCACATTCTTGGAAGAGAAAGATTAAGATTTGCTTCTGAATTCACAGTCTGATTTGTTCAGCTTCCATGTGAATTCGTTCCTTTAATTCTTTGTGAATAATTGTAAATCTTGAGTAGGTGTCTCAAGTGGTAAGGAATTCTTATAGTGGGTTTCTA